TTCCATAGGTGTAGGTCACATATCTGTCTCTTCTATTAGAATTCTTTGAGGGCAGAGTCCATGATTCTGAGGGTGCTTCAGAAAGTTCATGGAAAAATTTGATTGTCTTTATAGTCCCTTTTTTCTACAAACATTTTAAGTCCCCTCATTGTCCATCTTTTATTCCAGGCTCCTAGTCAGCACAATAAATGAACTTGGTAGTCAAGAGATGTTGAATCGACTATCTAAAACCTAACTTAGTTTTACAATTATACAAGGACTTTTTTGAATACTCTAAAATTGTTTGATTCTTGGTTTCTTATTAACTGGTATAATAGCATTCATTTAAGACTTTTTTCTTATTAAAAACTATAGGATTTCAGAATGACCGACACTTGTGAAACTATTTCAAATTTTGAAGAGATGTTTGCCAGTAGATTCACAAAAGACGACAAAGAGTACCAGGAATACCTGAAACTCCCTCCTGCGTCCCCACCAATTGTCGAGGAATGGAATAGCAGAGCTGGTGGAAACCACAGGAATAGAGGCAACTGGTATGTATCACTTCAGAAGAATAAATGTTGATGGTTGATCTGAGGGAGTATAGCTTTAATCTGCCCGTCTGTATGGTCATATACTAATGTTTTATTCAATATGGTTTATCAGTGTGGTGCAACAGTGGCTGACAAATTAATATTTAATATTTTGGCAGCACCATATTTTTTCTTTGCTGTTTAGTAGTGTGTGTGTGTGTGTGTTTTAAGTTCTTGCTGTGGGCTACTACAGTTCCATTCATATTTGTATGGGCTTATTTCAGATAAAACGTGTTTATTATGTCCCGTTTGATCAGCGGTTGGTTGCAGACAAGTTCTCTTAGTAATACCCTTTCTTAGTCTTTCAGGGTGCCTTCAAACAAAACAAAGAAAGAATACTTTTTGAATGGAATTTTAACAAAACTCAAGTGTATATCTTCCCAAATCATTAAAGCTTTGTAAAAATTTTACAGGAATACTGCATCACATGAAACAGCAGTTTGTTAGGTGGATCGGGTAGTTTAAGGAAGGTCAGAAAGATGAATTCAAGGCAGAGAGGTCAGCTCAGAAGGCTTTTGGGATTCCAAAATGGTAACCTTGATAGATTTTCTTGAAGGACACTAGATGCTCACAGGGCCTTTTTTTTTTTTAAAAAATATGAAAAAAAAAAAGACTTGAAAACTGCACTGGTAAGGAAAAAGCCAGGAAAGTTAGGATTAGCAGTTTTTTTCCATCACAACAATGTACCTGCTCATTCTTTGAGGGTCCTATAAAGGTCCTATGTGAATTTTGTTGGGAAACCTTACCTTACCCACCCAACAGCCCTGATTCACTCCTTCAGACTTTTTGGTCCCAAAACTCAATATTTCAAAGGAACATGATTTGTTTCCTTTGAGGATAACAAAACTGCTGTTTTGATGTGTAAATTGAAGAGTGCAGAATTCTTCAAGGAAGGGTTAGGCAGATGGAACCACTGCCTTCAGAACTGTATAGACCTAGATGAAGGCTATGTCGAGAAACAACAGCTTCATGTTTTGATGTTTTTGTTTAATAAAGGTTTCTATGATATTTGTAGCAATACTTTTTTTACTTTTTGAAAGTAAAAAAGTTTCAAAAAGTTTATTAAAAAGTTCTATTTTAATTCCATATTCGTCATGAATTTTTTGAAGCCTCCCCTAATATACAAAACAAAAAAAGTGTTAAACTCCGTAAGGAAAGGATTGTTTTCGTTTTACTGTAGAAAAGTTTCTAAGAGCAATTTAATAGCTTTTGGTTTGATTTAAAACTAGCCTGTTGCTTTAGGCTTATTGTTGTCGTTTCGCAGAGTATGTATAAGAGTTATTGAGAAATCGAATGTATAGCTGTGTTGTGTGTGTATGTTTTTTTTTTTAAAGGGACTTTTAAAACCCATTTTGTTTTGTTGTGTAGGTTACAAGATAACAGACAGTTTAGAGGTAGGGATAACAGACGAGGGTGGCCAAGTGACAATCGATCCAATCAGTGGCGTGGACGCTCCTGGGGTAATAGTTACCAGCAGCAGAGGCAAGAACCTTATTACCCCCAGCAATATGGACAGCATGGTTACAACCAACGACCTTCCTATGGTTACTACTGATAGAGATGTCAACAGCTTTTAATAAAACCATTTCCTTTGTTAACCTGACTAAAGTGTACGTGTGTCTTCTGTTTGGTCACTTGATTTTAGGAGGTGGATTGTTAATTTTTTACAGTTGGAGACTTAAAAGATTTTACTAGACATGTTATGGAAGCTAGGAATAAATGTTGTTGTTAAGTGCCATAGAATTGGTTCTGACTCTTAGTGACCCTGTACAGGGTTTCCAAGGAGCTGCTGGTAAGTTTGAACCGTCAGCCTTGCAGTTCAAACTGACCTTGAGGTCAAGTGCTTATCCTACGGTGCCACACCAGGACTCCTAGGAAACCTAGAACTGTTGTTGTTGTTAAGTGCCTTTGAGTCAGTTCAACCCTCTGTAGGGTTTCCGAGGAGCAGCTGGTGAGCTTGAACCACCAACTTTGCAGTCCAGTGCATTAACCCACAGCGCCACACCAGGACTCCATTTTTTAGGCCACTATGAGTCCTGGTGTGGCACTGTAGGTTAATGCACTGGACTGTAGGGTCGGTGTGAACCTCAAGGTTAGCAGTTCAAGCTCACCAACTACTCATCAGAAACCCTATACAGACAGTATCACTGTGAGTTGGAACCAAGTCTATGGCACTTAAAAACAACAACGACAAACATGATTATATTGCATGACTTCTACCTCAGATTCATCTTTATTTGACAATTATTAGTGCTTTGAGTTTGGTATACTTTTTCCCATGTTTGACCTGTAGGAGTCCTCTATTTCATACAAACAAAACTTTTTAAATTGAAAATGCTTACTCTTACTGTGTAAGACAAGGGAGTGCCCATATACTCAAACATATTCCTTCCTAAAGTTTTAGAAGTAAATACAGTCTGCTCATGGATCCACAGCTAAGTTTATTTGTAACATATTCATAGCATCAACAGTTTAAAGGTAAAAACAATATCTTTCTTTTGGCTTTTGTCATGTGAGTTACCAGTGCTTATGATTACTTAGTCTACAGGTTTGGGTCAGCCCCACAGTATTTCAGTCTCTAGAGGGAAATCAAAAATAAACTGTAAAATAAGGAATCAGTCTCAGTTTCCTTGTCTGTTGATGTGGTGGGTAGAATTAGGGAAAATAGTTTTATAGAAAGTCAGGTTTTTGCCAATTTACCACATCCAGCCAACAAACCAATCAGCTGTTGACAACTCTCACTCAAGACAACCTGATGAGCGCCCGAGTAGAACTGTGCTGTACGGGATTTTGATGAGCGTCCAGGTAGAATGGTGCTGTACAGGATTTTGGTAGTAGATCACCAGGCCTTACTTCTACCTTACCTCTGGGTGCACTTGCACTACCAGCCTTTTCAGTTAGCAGGTAAGCATTGTCTACGGGCACCAACTTAAAGCAGACCTAAAGCAAGCCCACTGTCATCGAGTCTGTTCCAACTCACAGCGGCCCCTGTGTAGGGTTTCTGAAGGTGTAAATCTTTAAAGGAGCAGAAAACCTCATCTTTCTCCCTCAGAGCAGCTGGTAGGTTTGAACTGCTGACCTTGCAGTTAGCAGCCTAATACTTCCAGCACCACCAGGATTCTTTAATTTTCTTGTTGTTGAGTCAGTTTGGACTCCTGGGGACCCTTTGTAGGATTTCCAAGGAGCGGCTGGTTGGTTTGAACTGCCAACCTTGCAGCTAGCAGTTCAATGCTTATTCTACAGCATCACATCAATTCACATGTTATGTAAATGCTTAATTTTCTAATGTTCAAACTTTACTTTTTCATCATATTTTGACTCATTATAGTATTTTATGTTCATTTTACAAGTTAGATTTATTTCCCAATGTGCACCCTTGCTACTTTCTCTTCTCTCTCTCTATATATATAATGATGCTGTAACTTTCAGAATATTGTTTTAAATTATTTTTTCCAGTCAATTTTTATAATCATTTATAATGGTTTTATTAAAATAAAATCTTGTAACATTAAGCAACTTCACTCCCAAGTTTTGGCAGTTAGCTCATTCATTAATGTGCTGAGATGAGCTTTTAAAAATTACTCTGGTCTTACCTTTTGAAAAGGATTTAAAAAGACTTATTAAAAGTACACATTTCATCAGAAATCAGATGAATTAAAAAGCATCTTCCTCCATCTGCCTTCTGCTGCCTTCTCTCTCACTATCCTACTCCAGGCCCCTGAGATGAACTTGAAGTACTTCTCCATGATCTGGCTCCAACCCCACCACCCCCTCTTCTTTTAGAATCATATTTTCAGATAATCTTTATTGGAGAAGGTCTCATAAACCAATTTACAATGACATGTTAGTAAAACTTTAATAAGGGTTTTCCCCTGTACCCCTCAAATTTACCTCAGTAGGCAATAGGCCAGTGTTGTTAGTTGAAGACTGACTTGGATACTGTAAAGCCTAGAGAGGTGAGACGAGCTTGATGGCATCCCAGGGGTTTTGCTGAAATCTGAAGCTGTTAATGGATAGAATATAGGCACTAACCAATCATGGGAGCGCAATAGCTCTGTAAGGTAATCACTGGACTGCATATCACAAGGTCTGCGGGTTGAGCCCATCAGTTGCTTTGCAGGATAAAGATGAGGCTTTCTGCTCCTGCAATGATTTGCAGCCTTGGAAACCCTATGGAGGTGGTGGTGGTGTGTTGTGGAGTCTGTTCCGACTCTGACCCTGCATAGGGTTTCTGAGGCTGTAAATATTTATGGGAGCAGAAAGCCTCATCTTTCTCTAGTGGAACAACTGGTAGTTCAAACTGCTAACCTTGAGATTAGCAGCCCGATTCGTAACCACTATGTTACCAGAGCTTCTTGGAAACACTATACAGGGAAGCAATTCAGTGGTATTTAACACTGACCAATTGTGACAATAGCTGACCTTTGAAGCAGAATCTTTAAGACCCTCTGATGTGCAAGGTACTAATCCTAATTTGGGAGGTCTGTGGATGCAGGGTTGGAGCAGGGGGCTGCCTCTCAGGATGCTCAAGAGAGGTTATTTGTCAACAATATGTAGATGTTTTAACACCTGGTACAACTAAGTTTGGCGGTTCAAGCCCACCAGCTGGTCCTCAAACCCTGTACAGGGTTGCTACAGGTTGGAATCGACTCAGTGACACTTAACGACAACTAACGTTGAAAGGATGGCCACTTTTCGGGTAAGTTGTTTTGTATTCAGGATGTTGTTTCTGTTTTCTATAGCAGTCACTATCAATTGTCCCCCGAGTTCTTAAGAAGAAATAAAAGACATGATCTCTGCTTCATGTGGAGAGAGAATAACATGAAAAAGACTTAAAGATAAGAAAGCAAAAAACTGTGTTAAACAGAATTTCTAAGAAGCCACCTATTGTGACAGCATACAGCATTAACCATAGGAAGCCCCTGGGGCTTCTTACGGACTTTGAGAAAAGGTAAAGTATGTAACTTTTAGAAAAGTTAAAACTCCAAACTTATCTGCTCACTCTTAAATATGGGAATTCTTTGCCACCCTGTGTTATCATATAAACGTCCAAACTACATGCTTAAATCCCCATTGGCATGTTATGTGCCTCATAAATGTTGAAGCAATTGGGGGTCGGGGAGAGGGGAAAGCAACTGGTAGACAACATGGGACGGGAGACTTACTGAGAATTACAGATTTGTGATTGTTTTCGTCTGTGAATCCACATATAGCACAAAAAGAAATCTCCTTCAGAAAATAACCCACAATTCAAATGTGAGAAAAAGGTTGTATAGAGCTAAAATGAGCATTTACTGTTTAGAGATTGTTGTTTAAATGATTACTGAACACATTAGATTCATAATCTTTTTGAAAAGGGCTTGCACTTGGGGACTTGAGAGCCATTTTTTGAGTGCTAGGAAGATGTGGGGCTATCCAGAGTAAAAGAATGAATCACTGCTCTGAAAATAGTTTTTGAAGGCACATAGGAAAAAAGTATCTGGTGGGATTCCCAGCATGGTTTTTGAAGTCTTAAGTTCCAAATCTCCATTCCCTACCTGTAAAGATACAATTTTCCCTTTGTATTTGATTCCTCTGACGGAAAATACAGGGGTTTATATAATTTGTTTAGTGCCTTTGAATCAATTCCGACTCAATACTGACCCTGTATGGAGTTTCTGAGAAGGAGCACCTGGTGGGTTTGAACTGGCAACTTAGCAGTCCATTTAAGTGAATGAAATGTCAGATTAAGTTTAGACAATAAAATGTTGTTGTTGTTAGGTGCCATCGAGTTGGAACCGACTCATAGCGACCCCATGCACAGCAGAACGAAACAATGTTCGATCCTGGGCCAACCTCACTACCGCTGCCACACTTGAGTCCATCAATGATGCCACCTGGCCGATCCATCTCGTTGGGGGTCTTCCTCTTTTTCTCTGACCCTCCACCCTACCCAGCATGACATCCTTCTCCAACGATTGTTTCCTCCGGACAATATGTCCAAAGTAGGAGAGACGAAGCTTAGCCATCCTGGCCTCCAAGGAGCACTCTGCTGCACTTCTTCCAAAACAGATCTATTGGTTCTTTTGGCAGTCCATGGCACTTTCAGTATTCTCCTCCAACACCACAACTCAAAAGCATCAATTCTTCTACGATCCTCCTTATTCACTGTCCAGCTTTCGCATCCATGTGAGGCTATTGAAAACACAATGGCCTGGGTCAGGCGCACCCTAGTCCTCAAGCTGACATCTCTGCTCTTCAACACTTTAAAAAGTTCCTGTGCAGCAGATTTGCCCAGTGCAATACATCGTCTGATCTCTTGACTGCAACTTCCGTGAGTGTTGATAGTTGATCCAAGAAGAATGAAGTCCTTGACAACTTCAATCTTTTCTCCATTGATAAGAATGTTGTTTATTGGTCCAGTGGTGAGGATTTTTGTTTTCTTGACTTTGAGATGTAATCCATATCGAAGGCTGTGCTCTGTAATCTTCATAAGTAAATGTTTCAAGTCCTCTTCACTTTCAGCAAGCAAGGTTGTATCATCTGCATATCGCAGGTTGTTAATGAGTCTTCCTC